CCAGGCTAAGTGTACATCTAACTACTTCAAACTTAAACGAGTTAGGACCAGTATGTTTTAAGCCTAGAAATGTTATCTGTGCACACTAGATTGGGGGGAAAAAAATTGAAAGTACAAACAGTAGTTAAGACAATTATAGTAATCTCAAAAAAGGTGATGGACCCTGGCCTAACACAATGGCAGTAAGGATGAAAAGAAAAGGGTAAAACCACTAAAGGACTTTACTAGACATAAGAAATGAAGATTCAGCTTATAACTCCTCAATGACTTCCTGTTGCATTTAGGATTTTTAAAAAATTATTAACAGCCGGGCTCAGTGGCTCAGCCTGTAATCCCACGCCTTTGGGAGGCTGAGGTGAGTGGATTGCCTGAGCCCGCGGGTTCAAGGCCCGCCTGAGCTGCGAGACCTCATCTCTACAATAAATCAAAAAATCAGCCGGGCATGGTAGCGCATGCCTATAATTCCGGCTACTCGGAAAGCTGAGACGGAAGGATTGCCGGAGCCCAGCAGGTCAAGGCTGCGGTGGCCGAGAGCGGCCACTGCACTCCAGTCTGGGCGACAGAGTGAGACTCCAACTCAAAAAAAAAAAAAATTATTAACAAAACCTAAAAAATATGCATCAAGCCTCTGCTCAACTCTACAGCTTCCATTTCACTCACCCTCTTCCATTTGTTCCTTGGCTGTCTGTGATCCAGCCACAGCAAGTATTCTTTCAGGTGTTGAATATATCAGACAAGTACCCTTTCTGTCCTAGGTCCTTACCTGAAACACTCTTTCTCCTTTCTTTACTTCGTTTACTCCTACATAGCTTTCAAATCTGAACTCAATTCTCATTCAGGGAAGTCTTTCCTGATCCTCCAAATTAGACCAGTCCCCTGTTATATGTTTTCATAACACTACTTTTTCTTCACACTAATTACAGTATATAATTCACTCCACTTATCAAATATATAATTACATATATATTGTAATTATTTAATTAATGCTGCTTCTATCACTAAATTCTAAACTCTGTGAGGACAGTGGCAGTCTTTCCTTACAAATATATCCCCAATCATTAGAATAATACTTGGCACAAAATACTTAATAAGTGTGATAATTCGAATTTGAGCCTAGGAAACTAAGAATCTGACAAAAAGCTAACTTAAAAAACATAGCCGGGCTCAGTGGCTCAGCCTGTAATCCCCCGCCTTTGGGAGGTTGAGGTGAGTGGATTGCCTGAGCCCGCGGGTTCGAGACCCGCCTGGGCAGGCGAGACCACATCTCTATAGTAAGTCAAAAAAATTAGCCGGGTGTGGTAGCGTGTGCCTAGTTCCAGCTACTTGGAAGGCTGAGGCGGAAGGATCCCCGGAGCCCAGCAGGTCGAGGCTGCGGTGGCCAGGAGCGGCTACTGCACTCCAGTCTGGGCAACAGTGAGACTCCAACTCAAAAACAAAACAAAACAAAACAAAACAAAAAAACATTAACAGAGAGTTCAAAGTAATTCAATGGAAAAAGAATAGTCTTTTCAACAAGTAGTGGAGGAACAACTGGCTATTCATATACAAAAAGATGAACTTGGGCTCTTACCTCACAACATACACAAAAAATAACTCAAAATGTATCAGATAACTAAATGTGAAAGGTAAGTGTTTACAATTTTTACAAGAAAATATAGGAGAAAATCTTCAACACTTTGGGCTAGATACAACACCAAAAACACAATCTATTAAAAAATTGATAAACTAGACCACATCAAAATTCAAAACTGTTGAACATCAACAGACAGCATTAAAAAAATGAAAAGACAAATCATAGACTAGGAGAAAATATTTGCAAAATCACATATCCAATAAAGGACTTATATCTAGAATATACAAAGAAGTCTTACAACACAATAAGACAAACAACCCAATAAAAATGGACAAAATATATGAACAGACATTTAATAAAGATACACGAATGGCATGAAAAGATGCTCAACATATTAGTCATAAGGAAAATTCAAACCAAAACCACAGTGATATACCACTTCACCACACTAGGAAGGCTATAATCCAAAAGAGAGACAATAATAAAAGCTAGTGAGCATGTGGAAAAATCAGAACCCTCATACATTGCTGGTAGAAATACAAAATAGTGCAACCACTTTGGAAAGCAGTTTAGCAGTTCCTCAAAATGTTAGCAAGAGTTACCATAAGACCCCACAATTCTATTACTAGGTGTCTACCCAAAAGAAATAAAACCATGTGTACACACAAAAATGTGTACACAAATGTTTCTAGCAGCATTATTCATAATAGTCAAAAAGTAGACACAACCCGAATGTTTATTAACTTATGAATGAATAAGCAATGTAGGATAGCCAAACAATGAAATATTACTCAACAATAAAAAAGGATGAAGTACTGATACATGCTACAACACATATGAACACTGAAAATCTTATGCTAACTGGGATCAGTGGCTCAGTCTGTAATCCCACGCCTTTAGGAGGCTGAGGTGAGTGGATTGCCTGAGCCCGAGGGTTCGAGACCCGTGTGGGCAACTTGGCGAGACCTCATCTCTACAAAAAATCAAGTAGTTCCAGCTACTTGGAAGGCTGAGGCGGAAGGATCGCCGGAACCCAGCAGGACGAGGCTGCGGTGGCCGGGAGCGGCCACTGCACTCCAGTCTGGGTAACGGAGTGAGACTCCAACTCAAAAATAAATAAATAAATAAACAAATAAATAAAAAGAAAATCTTATGCTAAGAGAAAGCGGCCAACACAAAAGAACACATCTTGTATGAATCCATTTATATGTCATGTCCAGAAAAGGCAAATTTGTGGAGATTTTCCTGGGGCTTAGGGTAGAAAGGAGGATTAAATTTAAATAAGCATGGAGGATCTTATATGGATGATGAAAATGTTCCAAGACTGGATTGGGATAGCTAAACACTCAGTAAACTTATTAAAAATCACTGAATTAAGCTGGGCTCGATGGCTCAGCCTGTAATCCCGCGCCTTTGGGAGGCTGAGGTGAGTGGATTGCCTGAGCCCGCGGATTTGAGACCCGCCTGGGCAACTTGGCGAGACCTCATCTCTACAATAAATCAAAAATTAGCTGGGCGTGGCAGCACACGCCTGTAGTTCCGGCTACTCGGAAGGCTGAGGCGGAAGGATCGCCGAGGCCCAGCAAATCGAGGCTGCGGTGGCCGGAATTGGCCACTGAACTCCAGTCTGGTCGACAGAGTGAGACGTCAACTCAAAAAAAAAAAAATCACTGAATTATAGAATTTGCATGAGTGGCTTTTATGATATATAAATAATACCTCAATAAAGTTAATTTATTTTTAAACTGGGGGAACTAGGGGTGAGTACAGGATAGGCAAGATTATATTGCTTTTAGACTTGCTGAATCTACTAATGAGATGGCCGAATGTCCTGGAAAATTAGAAGGTTGCTGAAGATATTGGACTACAGAGACCTAGTAATATAGATTTCTAGAGTCACCAGGAAAGATATGAAAAAGGGATTTTTCTATATGTCTTCAACACTGTACAGATCACTCCATACTAAAAAGATTTTCACTTAACCATGCTAATTCTCAAGTGTACCTTTTCAAAATTCTTCAAAAAGGAGTCCTTACCCATTGCTTCCACTACCCCATAGTCTCTTAATCTCCTAAAGTCCCTGTTCCTTCCATATCTCATTGCCAAAACTATTTTTTCAACTCACTAATGGGGCTCTATTTTCAAAACCAAAGAGCTTTTCTCTGTTCCCATTCTTTTTAACTTCTTTGCAAGTTCTGCCAACTCCCATTCTTGAAACTCATCTCAGCTTCTAAAACATTATACTATTCTGATCCTCTTCCCACTTCTCTGCTTCAGTTTTCTTTGCTAAATTCTTTTACCTCCTACCCTCATTCACATCTTATCAAAATAAGAGAGAATCTGGTTTTCATCTCTGTCTTCCCACTTGCAAAATTTGTTTATAAACCTCAGCCAACTTCAAGTCACCAGTGTTTCTTTATCTCCATTAATTGTCCTTATGGCATCTTTCATGTCTTTGTTCTACTTCCCCAACTAGAAAATAAATTCAGAGAACATTAACTTGGCTTTTCTCAATTTTATAACTATAGAAAGCACTTAAAACAGAATTATATGCACAATGAAGGGAATTCAGTATCTGTTTTAGACTTATCAAAAGATGACTGAGATCATCCCAAGCAGATACCTGGGAAGATATTTTGATCCAGCTTAGAAAATGTGTCTAAGTCCACTCAGGCTCCTAAAACAACATACCAGAAACGGAGTGGCTTGTAAACAGCAGAAATGTATTTCTCACAGTACTGGTGGCTAGGAAAACCAAGATAAGGTTCTCCTGATTCATGTCTGGTAACAGCCCACTTGCAGGTTCATAACTAGTGCCTTCTAGCTGTATACTCACATGGTGGAAGGGGCAGTGGTCTCCCTTGGGTTTCTTTTTTTTTAATGTGGGGTACAAATGAGGGTTAGGTACATACGTGATCATCATACAGGTAAAGTGTGGGTACCCTTACTGATGTTATGTGCTCCCCCACTTGGGTTTCTTTCATAAGTTTCTTTCATAAGGGCATTCATCCCATTCATGTCCTAATCACCTCCTAAAGGCCCTACCTGCTACTATGATCACCATGGGGATTAGTATTTCAACATATGAGTTTTAGGGGGTCAAAAACATTCAGACCATAGTAGACCATTTTTAAACATAACGAGAATACTAAGAACTTTGTATGATCTTTTCACATATACATTTAAAGTTGTAATAAAGTTTCCTGGCAGTTAATTTATTCCCAGATGGCTAATGATATTCAAGCTAAAAATGTTTAAGTTCTATAAAACAAATTTAAATTCCTCCAGATTTCTAAAATTTGGAGTTATAAAGTACAAAACTACAAGTCTCAAGCAACATTTATAAACACATGGCTCTAGACTATTCTGTTCCAGACATTTGCTTCAGTCAAACTTTAATATTTTCAGAAAATGAATAATAACTTACCAAATCACAAAGTCCAACTTGCCCAAATTTGGCCCCAACTGCTATCAAAGTTCTAGTTTCTGATGGGTGGAGGGCCACAGAGAATATTGGGCCTTTGGTAACTTTGTAAACAGTATCTTTACTAATGACCATGCCATTTAAATTGGCTTTGTATCTAAGAAAATAAAAAAGTTAAATTTTATAATTGTAACCAATCTCAAAAGTCAAAATAAGTAAAAGATAATTCTAAAAAAATCACAATTAGCAAATAAATATGGAAAAATATTCAATCTCCTGATAACCAAAGAGATCAAATTAAGCAATGCAATTTTTCACTTATAAAATTACCCTTGATAATTTTAATGATAACACCAAAAACTAGTAGGCTACAGTTAAATATACACACTTACACATATTGCTAGTGGGCAGCATAAATTCATATAAGATTTTCAGAAGGAAAAAAATTTTTGAAACACAATTCAGCAGTGTGTACCAGATGTCATAAAAATGTCCACAAGTCGGGCTCGGTGGCTCAGCCTGTAATCCCGTGACTTTGGGAGGCTGAGGTGAGTGGATTGCCTGAGCCCGTGGGTTCGAGACCTACCTGGGCAGGCGAGACTTCATCTCTACAATAAATCAAAAAATTAGCCGGGCATGGTAGCTCGCGCCTGTAATTCCGGCTACTCGGAAGACTGAGGCGGAAGGATCGCCGGAGCCCAGCAGGTCGAGGCTGCGGTGGCCGGGAGCAGCCACTGCACTCCAGTCTGGGCGACAGAGTGAGACTCCAACTCAAAAAAAAAAAAACAAAAACACAAAGAAATGTCCACAAAATTTGACTCATTAATTCCACTTCTAGGCATCTATCCTAAGGAAAGAATTCACTATCACACAAACCAACACACAAAACTAAATAGAAAACAACCCCAAATACCAAATAGGTGGAAGGAGGCAAAGTAAATTCTTTCTATTCAATGGAATATTATGAAATTATTCAATAATTTTAAAGACTCTAGTAATGTGCAACGACAAATGAAAAATGCATAATGCAAACTGTATACACATTGGAGCATAACAAAGTAAAAACGTGAATTCATTCATTCATTCAACATTGAGCAAATACATATTATGTACCAGGCACCGTTCTGGTTGAGACAAAATTCCTGGCCTCACGAAGCTTTTATTCTAGTATTGCATAAGGCAACACTTAAGAGGAAATACACAAAAACAACAGTTGCTAGGGTGAAAATATTTCACCTCACTTTTCAAAGTTCCCTGTGGTGGTTTATAGTCTTTATAATTCAAATAGCTCAAAAAATATAAAACAAAGGGAAGGAATTTCAACTTACCTTTTAATGCTAGACAACCCCTTCTCAGTGTTCTTACTACTAGTCTGAAACATCAAGAGAGAGACCAAAGTACTAAGTTAATATATATATATCCTTAACAAATTATTCTAAAAGCTATAAGCCTTCCCAAATGATACCTTGCTCATTTCTGTCCATGTCTGCAGAGACCCTTTAAATAGATCATCATTGTCATCTCGATTATCAGGAATCATTTCTAAAGGTCCAGGAGGTAACAAAGGCTGTTAGAAAAAATTTAAAAAACAAAAATTTATTGTTTTTCTCCCTGTCCTAGAATATAAACGCAAAGAGGGCAAAGATATTTTTCTGTTTTTTTCACAATTTCACTTTCAACACCCGCAATAGTGGTGGCACATCGTGGACATTTAAAATAATTGTTCCAAGAAATGAATGTCCAGTGTCCTTTAAGATAATAATATGTACTGTCTTATTTAATCCTCTCAAAAAGCTAGTTAGTGAGTATCACATTTGAAAGACAGTGGATTGAAACTAAGTTAGCTTGCCCAAAGTCACACTGCCAATAACTGAAGAAGCTAAGAATTGACTCAGATCAGTTTAACTCATTATTCAGTGTTATATCTATGCCACTGCTTTTTTAAAGCACAGGTTGTAACCCATTCATGGGTGTGAAATCTTGTTAAACATGTCACAATCAGCAATCTGTTGTAGTGAATGAGAATAGAACAGAATAGAAAATACCAAAGTGCATCACATGTGGTGTCATTTCACAAACTGTAGTTTCAGTTGAGTGTGTGTATAATGTACTGTATTATCCATCACTTTTATCACATATTCTTTATTAACAACATTAATAACTACCTTTTATTGATTACTTACTAAATCCTTAATACAATGTAAGAAACTTTATGGATACTATTTCATTTAATCCTCACAACAGCCCTTTGAGGTTTTTTTTATTTTATTAATTTATTTTTTTGAGGCGGGGTTTCATTTAATTGAAGGCTGCAGTGGAGGGGCACAATCACAGCTCACCACAGCCTTGAACTCCTTGGCTCATTTTAATGATCAACCTGCTGATCCTCCACCTCAGCCTCCCAAGTAGTTGGGACTACAGATGTGCGCCATCATGCCCAGCTAATTTTTTTTATTTTTTTTGTAGAGATGAGATCTCACTATGTAGTCTAAGCTGGTGTCAAACTCCTAGACTCAAGCAATCCTCCCACCTCTGCCTCTCAAAATACTGGGATTACAGGCATGAGCCACTGTGCCCAGCTCTTTTTTTAAACTGATATAAAATTGTATGTATTTATGAGGCTTCTATTATTGTTGTCATTTTAAAACTGGGAAAACTGAGGCTCAGAAAGTTTAAATAACTTACCCACAATCCCACAACAGGTAAGTCCTGTAAAAATGCAGAATCCAACCCAGTCTTTATGACTTTGAAATCTTACTCATTAAACCATATGACATGGAAGTATTACATTACAGAAATGTACATTAAACATAACTTAATAAACTTATAGTCTAGTTTTTACACTACAGTTTTAAACTTTTCAGTATTTCACTGAGTTAATATATAATATTTGTACTTTTTCTTTTTGAGACAGGGTCTTGCTCTGTTGCCCAGACTGGAGTGTAGTGGCATGATCACTGCTCACTGCAGCCTCAACCTCCTGTGCTCAAACAGTCCTTCCACTTCAGCCTCCCAAGTAGCTGGAATTAAAGGAGTGTGCCACCACACCCAGCGAAAACTTTTTGGTAGAGATGGGGGTCTCACTATGTTGCCCAGACTAGTCCTGAACTCCTAGCCAATAGCAGTCCTCTCCTCTTGGCCTCCCACAACACTAGGATTACAGGCATGAGATACGATACCCAGTCTGTATTTCACTTTTTCTTACAGTTTCATCTGCTATTAATGTTGGCTGTGTTGGAGTTGGTGATAATGAAACTCCCAAAGGATCGACTTTTAGTAATCGCATTGACCTTCTACATCCAATCCCATTTTCTCTCTTCTTAGGCTTCTTTCTAAAGGAGTGGGGGGAAAAAACTCATGTTATACGAACAAAATGGTAAAATGTGTTTACTAATATTAAGGAGATAACTTCTGGGAATGTATACCACAGATATATTGGCATACTGCAGAGATATAGATATATACATTTGTATAAATGGCTACATTGATTTTTTTTTTTTTTTTTTTTGAGTTGGAGTCTCATTCTGTCGCCCAGGTTGGAGTGCAGTGGCATGCTCATAGCCACTGCAGCCTTGACTTGCTCGGCTCAGGTGATCCTACCACCTCAGCCTTCCAAGTAGCTGGAACTACAGACGCACGCCTCCATGCCCAGCTGATTTTATTTATTTTTTTATTTGTTTTTGAGTTGGAGTCACACTCTGTCACTCAGGTTGGAGTGTAGTGGCATGCTCACGGCCACCACAGCCTCAACCTGCTGGGCTCAGATGATCTTCCACCTCAGTCTTCCAAGTAACTGGAACCACAGGCATGTGACACCATGCCCAACATTTTTTTTTATTTATTTATTGTAGAGATGAGGTCTTGCCATGTTGCTCAGGTTGGTCTCAAACCCCTGAGCTCACAGGCAGTCCTCTCGCCTCTGCCTCCCAAAATGCTTGGATTATAGGAGTGAGCCACTGTGCCTGGCTGGCCACATTGATTTTGATAAAAAGTACAGAAAAAACTTAAACCTAAATGTTGATCATAGAAAGGTACAAGGTATTAAATAAATTATGGCATACATATCTAATAGAATAATATACAGCCATAAGTCTTTGTGTGCTGCTAAAATGAACCCAAAATTAAAGAGGCAAAAACAAGGTCCAGTACATGTGTACACAAAGGTTACACATACATATACATTTGCACGTGCTGAGGTTACCTATAGAGGAATATACATAAAACTATTAACAGTGGTTTCTTCTAGGGAAATGTCCTGGAAAACTAAAGTCTAGGATGCGAAGGAAACTTAAATGTTTCACTGCATTCTCTTCCACATACTTAAGTTTATGTCTTTAATCATATACCTCCTCTACTTTTTATGCACTATTTTTTTCACTTTAAAAAAAAGTTGTGGGCCAGGCTCGGTGGCTCAGCCTGTAATTCCAGCACTTTGGGAGGCCGAGGCGAGTGGACTGCCTGAGCCCGTGGGTTCAAGACCAGCCCAAACAACTTGGTAAGACCTTGTCTCTACAATAAAAAAAAAAAAATTAGCCAGGTGTTGTAGTGTGTGCCTGTAGTTCTGGTTACTTGGAAGGCTGAAGCAGAAGGATCGCTGGAATGGCCGTGAGTGTGCCACTGCACTCCAGCCTGAGCGACAGAGTGAGACTTCAATTCAAAAAATATATATATATTTTTTTTTAATTGTGGAAGGGAGGACGCATCCACAGGAGGGGCAGGGATAAGAAAAAAAAAATCATTCATTTAAAAGTGTTGGGGAAAGGGAAGCCTCTGAAATTACTTCCAAAAATTTACATAAAAAACTCTCAGCTATAGTTCACCTTAGTTCAGGAGAGTTAGTAATAACTATTATTGACTAAAAGTATACTATATGCCAGAAAATATGAAAATTTTTTTTAGAGACGAGAATCTCGCTATGTTGCCTAGACTGGTCTTGAACTCCTGGGCTCAAGCAATCCTCTTGCATAGGCCTCCCAAAGTGCTGGGATTACAGGCATGAGTCACCGCACCCAGACAGAAAGTATGAAAATGTAAAGCTACTAATCAGATAGCAAAAGGACCAGTGCTACTGTTTTTCCAGTGTTAATGATGCTCCTCTTATACAACATTTTACATTCCAAAATGTATTAAAAGTTCAGTTTTTCTCAAGTGAATTAATCTGTAATAGAATCAAACCAATTAAATAAAGCCACATTTAATTAGCATCTAGCACTAAACAAATGAGCTAATAATACCAAGATTTTTAGTTTCTTTATTTATATGTAATGCAGTGGAAAGAATTCAAAAATAAAGAAATCTTGGAGTTCAAATCCTAGAGTTACCACTTATGAACTATTTTGACCTTCAGTAAATTATTTAGCCTCTTGAACCTGTTTTCTAACTCACAAAATGAACATATTACCTACCACATATGGTGGTTATCAGAATTGAACAATATAGGACAAAATTGCTAGATCACTATACTTTGCTTCATAGATGTTCAATAAATGTTAATTCTCTTCCTTTATTCTAGGACTGGGAAAACAAAAACAAATTGGCAAGTAAGAACATAGCGAAGGTCGGGCACGATGGCTCATGCCTATAATCCCAGCACTTTGGGAGGCCTAGGTGAGAGGATTGCCTGAGTTCAACGGTTCAAGACCAGCCTAGGCAACTTGGCGAGACTTCACATCTACAACAAATCAAAAAATTAGCCGGGCATGGTGGTGCATGTCTGCAGTTCCAGTTACTTGGAAGGCTGAGGCAGAAGGATCACCTGAGCCCAGTAGGCTGAGGCTGCGGTGGCTGTAAGTGTGCCATAGCCCTCCAGCCTAGGCAATAGAGTGAGACTCTGACTCCAAAAAAAAAAAACAAGCCAGAAAAATAAAAAGGAAGTTAAAGAATCTTAAAGAAAAATAGTTTTCTAAGTAAAAGTTAGAATAACTTAGTGGAAACAAATATTTTCCTCTATTAGCAGCTACAGTAAATATAAACAAAATTCAGCTCTATTGCTCTATTGGATTCTGTTGCTCCATATTCCTTTGATAAAATAAGAACAGCAAAGTTATTAAAAGATAGCATTTGGGGTCAGGCACAGTAGCCCACGCCTGCAATCCCAGCATTTTGGGAGGCCAAGGCGGAAGGATTGCTTGAGGCCAGGAATTCAACAACAGCCTAGGTAACACAGAAAGACCTTGTCTCTACAAAAAATCAAAAACTGAGCTGTGCGTAGTGGCACATGCCTGTAGTTACAGCAACTTGGAGGCCTGGGGTGGAAGGATCGCCTGCAGGTATAGGCTGCAGTAGCTGTGACCGTGTTACTGCACTCCAGCCTGGGCCACAAAGTGAGACCCTGACTCAAAAAATAAAAAAATAAGCCAGGCACAGTAGTTCATGCCTGTAATCCTAGCACTTTGGGAAGCAGAGGTGAGAGGATTGCCTAAGCCCAGGAGTTTGAAATCAGCCTGGGCAACTTGGTGAAACCTTGTCTCTACAATAAATAAAAAAAATTAGCCTGGCATGGTGGCGTGCATCTGTGGTTCCAGTTACTTGGAAGGCTGAGGCAGAAAGACTGCCTGAGCCTAGCAGGTCAAGGCTGCAGTGGCTGTGCACATGCCACTGCACTCCAGCCTGAACAACAGAGTAAGATTCTGACTCAAAAAAAAAAAAATAGCATTCTAGACCAAGCACAGAGGATCACACATGTAATCCCAGCGCTTTGGGAGGCTGAGGCAGGAGAATTCCTTGAGGCCAGGAGTTCAAGACAAGCCTGGGCAACATATTTTGAAAAATGAAGACATTTTTCAAAAAATTAGCTGGAGCCGGGCTAGGTGGCTCAGCCTGTAATCCCAGCACTTTCGGAGGCCGAGGTGAATGGATTGCTTGAGCCCGCAGGTTCGAGACCCGCCTGGGCAACTTGGCGAGACCTCATCTCTACAAATAAATCAAAAATTAGCCGGGCGTGGTAGCACGTGCCTGTAGTTCCAGCTACTTGGAAGGCTGAGGCGGAAGGATCGCCGGAGCCCAGCAGGCCGAGGCTGCGGTGGCCGGGAGCAGTCACTGCACTCTGGTCTGGGCGACAGAGTGAGACTCCAACTCAAAAAAAAAAAAAATTAGTTAGGTATGGTGGCATGTGCCTGTAGTCCTAGCTACTCAGAAGACTGAAGTGTGAGGATCCCTGGAACCCAAGAGGTTGTGGTTACAGAGAGCTATGACTGTGCCACTGTACTCTAGCCTGGGCCACTGAGTGAAACCCTGTCTCCAAAAAAAAGGGCAGCATTCCCTCAGAGATCCTAGTGATTAAGATTATCGTTTCTGATGTTACTTAAGCTTCCTCACCAGCATTTTTTTCAAATAATAAAGCAAACCATTATATCATGATCCATGTATTATACACCAAATATTTTACCTCTTGGATTCAGGAGGCTGTCTCTTCTTTATCATTTCACGGAGTCTTGCAGCTGACTGCAAAGTATACAAAACATATAAAAATGTCATAACTAAATAGCTTACCTTTTAAAATATTAAGTAGCTGCTACTATATCCACATTAAACTAAACATGAACTAAAGATCCTTAGGGTAGAATATCTGCTCTTGGTAGTAGTAGACATGAGACAAATACACTCTCAATAATAAAAGCAAGTGTATAATACTGCCTAATGCACTACATTCTGATACCTTGGATCAAGTTGCTAATGAGTTTACATGGTTAAACATAGTATCTGATCAAATATACGATTACAAATTAAAAGACTTAACTTCTTGGGGCTGGGTGCAGTGGCTCACGCCTATAATCTCAGCACTTTGGTAAACCGGAGGTGAGAGGATTGCCTGAGCCCACGGGCTCAAGACCAGCCTGAGCAACCTGGTGAGACTTCATCTCTACAGTAAATCAAAAAATTAGCCGGACATGGTGGTACGTGCCTATAATTCCAGCTACTTGGAAGGCTGAGTCAGAAGGGTGGCCTGAGCCCAAGAGGTTAAGGCTGCAATTATCATGCCACTACACTCCAGCCTGGGTGACAGAGTGAGTCCCCAACTCAAAAAAATAAATAAATAAAATAAAAGGTTTAACTTCTATTGGTGAACCTACTTTGATGCCTTTCAGGAAAAATATAGGCTACATTTCTATAGATCATATTTTCTGTTAACTAAAGTCATATTTAGAAATTATTTTTCTAGTTGCTAATGGCTTTTCAATTGTTAGTGACTCAAACAATTCAGTCCCTTAAATTAATTCACCTTCCCTCCTCTCAAGATGCAAACACAAAATATTTGGGAAACTTGTATTCAGAGAAATCAATTAATTATTGATTTCTCTGAATACAAGGGTTTAATATCTCTGGGAAAAGAAAACCACACCCTCCTAAACAGCTATTCTCTCACACATAGAAGTTTAACCTCCAGTGTGAAGACATCAATGTAAATTATATCTTTAATCAAAATTATTATAAAACATTAGCACACATCTGACCACTGATCCTTAACACTTCCTATACAAATTAATTCCTATCTATTCTCTTTTTTTCTTTTTGAGTTGGAGTCTCACTCTGTCACCTAGACTGGAGTGCAGTGGCCACTCCTGCAGCCTCGACCTGCTGGGCTCCAGCAATCCTTCTGCCTCAGCCTTCCAAGTAGCTGGAACTACAGGCACGGGCTACCACGCCCGGCTAATTTTTGATTTATTGTAGAGATGAGGTCTCGCCAAGTTGCCCAGGCGGGTCTCAAACCCACGGGTTCAGGCAATCCACTCACCTCAGCCTCCCAAAGCACAGGATTACAGGCTGAGCCACCGAGCCCGGCTCCCATTTATTCTTAAAATTTACAATTTAATAAGAAAAAATTTAAAAAGCAACTTGGCCCCATACTCTCCTACATAGAAGCCCCCAACCTTTTTGGCATCAAGGACTGGTTTCATGGAAGACAATTTTTCCAAACTGGGGATGGGGGGGAAAGGGGAGGATGGTTTCAGGATGATTCAAGCACACTAAATTTATTGTGCCCTTTATTTCTATTATCATTACATTGTAATATATAATGAAATAATTATTATTATGAAATTATTATTTTGCAAGCAATTGATTTATTTTGGTCTCTGTGCAGTCAAGCCCCTAATGTTAATCTGTATTTGCAGCTGCCCCCTAGTACTATAATCATCACCTCAGCTCCACTTCAGATCATCAGGCATTAGATTTTCATAAGGAGTGCACAACCTAGATCCCTCGCGTGTGTAGTTCACGAAAGGGTTCACGTTCCTATGAGAATCTAATTCTGCCACTGATCTGACAGAAGGCAGAGCTCAGGCAGTAATGCAAGTGATAGGGAGTGGCTGTAAATACAGATGACACTTTGCTCGCTCACCCACTGCTCAATTCCTACTACTGTACAGCTTGTTTCCTAACAGGCCACAGACCAGGTACTGGTCCATGGCCCAGGGTTTGGGAACCCCTGCCATATCACATATCTTTTAACCCACCCCACTCATTTATCCTTCATCTTTAGTTAAAGCAACAATTTGAACATATCTGTTTCTTTAAATCCAAGACAACCAACCATAAGACACCATTATCTATGTACCCCCCCAAAAGGGGGGAAAGTTGCCAATTATAGTTTTAAGATGCCAGTTTCAAAACATTGACCACAGTGACTCATGCCTGTAATCCCAGAACCTTGGGAGGCTGAGGTGGGAGGATCGCTTGAGCCCAGGAGTTTGAGACCAGCCTGGGCAACATAGCAAGACTTCATCTCTATAAAAAATAAAAAAATCTGCTGGGTGTGGTGGTGTATGCCTGTAGTCCCATCTACCAGGGAGGCTGAGATGGGAGGACCACCTGAGACCAGGAGGTCGAGGCTGCACTGAGCCAGGATTGAGCCACTGTACTTCAGCCTGGGCAACAGTGAGACTCTGTCTCAAAAAAGAAAAAGTGAAAAAATAATCAGTGAAATGTGATAACCTTTCTATAAGTATAAAACCTGCTCCTAGCAGGGCTCAGTGGCTCAGCCTGTAATCCTGCACTTTGAGAAGCTGAGGTGAGTGGATTGCCTGAGCCCGCGGGTTCGAGACCCACCTGGGCAACTTGGCAAGACCTCATCTCTGCAATAAATAAATAAAAAAAAATTAGCCAGGCGTGGTAGCGCGCGCCTGTAGTTTCAGCGACTTGGAAGGCTGAGGCGGAAGGATCGCCAGAGCCTAGCAGGTCGAGGCTGCAGTGGCCAGCAGTGGCCACAGTACTCCAGTCTGGGCAACAGAGTGAGACTCCAACTCAAAAAAAAAAAGAAACCTGCTCCTAATTTTGCCCTCCCTCATCTGACATATGAAACCTGATATTTTATTGACCTTCTGGTGAAAGAAACAGCATCTTGGTTTTAATTAGAGAGTTCACACAAACCTCAGACAACTGAAGAGAAGTAAAAAAGTTTGCATTTTCTGATATGTTCTTCAGTCTCTTCCTTTCATACGGTGACAATCCTGAAAAATCATCCTATAAAATTATACCAGAAAGATTCTATTACTTTATATCATCTATAGCAAAAGCACTTCACAAAACTACATGTTTCATTATCCACATGCATACTTTCCTTTAAATTGTACCCCTTCTATTCAGTTCATTCTGCTCTACCAAATACCACATAAGGTTTGCTGAACTGGATACTGAATTACCCTGAATTTGGGATAATCACAAGATATTTGTATGGTTTCTCAATTAAGTAAGAAGTGATCTGATATTAGAAGGAGTCAAGTAGTATAACCTAACAGCAAATTATTTCCTAGTGGAAATTAACTGTACAATTACTCAAAAGTTATTTTTTATTGAACAAAAAACTCCTGATTAGCACAGCAAAATGTGTCTCCACTTCATCCTAAAAATCTAATGTAAAAGCAAGCTGACAAGTAAACTGACAAAAAACATCCTCAGAGATATAAGAAAAGACAGTGTATTCATGAAATGACAGCAAGACACTAAAGAAAGGGAAAATTCAAAAAACAAGAAAGAACAATAACAGAAATTTTAAAATCCATTAAAAGGCTTAAAGGAAATCTAGAAAGTGGAACAAAAAGAAAAAGAGATAAACACAAGGACAGAAAAAATCTACAGAATCAATCTTGGAGGTCCAATATCCAATTAATACTTTGACAAACTGCACACAGGAGAAATTATTAGAAAAAGAATATAAGTGGGACACTGAGGCAGAAGGAATGCCTAAGCCCAGGAGGTCAAGGGTGCAGTCAGCCATTATCACATCACTGCACTCCAGCCTGGGCGACAGGAGACCCTAACTCCAAAAAACCTAAAGAAAAATAGTATTAAAACATTTCTCAAAACTGAACACAAGAGTTTCCAGATTAAAAGTGCCCAATGAGGCCCGGCATGGTGGTTCACACCTATAATCCCAGGACTTTGGGAGACTGAGGTAGGAGGTTCACTGGAGGCCAGGAATTTGAGAACAGCCTAGGCAATATAGCGAGACGTTTTCTCTATTTAAAAAAATTTTTTTTGAGTCGGAGTCTCACCTGTCACCCAGGCTAGAGTGCAGTGGCATGATCACGGTTCACCACAGCTTTGACTTCCTAGGGTCAGGCTATCCCTCCACCTCAGCCTCCCAAGTAGCTGGGACCACAGGCACGCACCACCACACCAGGCTAATTTTTTTTTAGAGAGAGACAAAATCTTACATTAAAAAAAAAATTAACCCACAATGAGATACCACTTCACATCCACTAGGGTGGCTATGATCAAAACAACAACAGCCGGGCTCAGTGGCTCAGCCTGTAATCCCGGGCCTTTGGGAGGCTGAGCTGAGTGGATTGCCTGAGGCTGTGAATTCGAGACCTGGCTGGGCAACTTGGCGAGACCTCATCTCTACAATAAATCAAAAATCAGCCAGGCATGGTAACATGCGCCTGTAGTTCCAGCTACTTGGAAGGCTGAGGCGGAAGGATCACCGGAGCCCAGCAGTTCGAGGCTACGGTGGTCGGAAGTGGCCACTGCACTCCGGTCTGGGCGACAGAGTGAGACTTCAACTCAAAAAAAAAAAAAAGACAACAGTAGAGGACATTATGCTAAATGAAATAAGCTAGACAAGAAGACAAATACTGTCAGATTCCATTACATGAGGTAACTATAGTTGTAAAATCCATAGAGACAAAAAGTAGAATGGTGTTTGTCAAGAGCTGGTAGGAGGGTGGAATAGGAAGTTGTCTAATAGTTACCGAGTTTCAGTTTGGCAAGATAAAAGAGTTCTGGAGATTGGCAGCACAGCAATGTGAATGTACTTAACAATATGGAACTACACACTTAATGGCTAGGATGGTAAGTTATATGTTACGTGTACTTTACCACAATTTTTAAAAATTTTAGTGATTAGAAAGAACAAACAAAAACAATTATTGGCAAGAGTATGGAGAAATTGGAATCCTCATCCATTGCTAGTGGATATTTAAAATGGTATAGACAGTTTGGAAAACAGTTTGACCCAGCAACTCCACTCCTAGGTATATACCCAAGAAAACTGAATGAAAACTTAAGTTTACGAAAAATCTTATATGCAAATGTTCAAAGCAGCATTATTCATAATAATATTCAAAAAGTAGAAATATAAATGTCCATCAACTGATGAATGTCTAAACAAAACGTAATATATCCATACAATTGAATATCATTTCCCCATAAAAAAGAATGAAGTACTGATACATCCTACAATATGAATCAATCTTGAAAACATCATGCTAGGTGAAAGAAGCTAGACACAAAGGCCACATATAGTATGATTTATATGAAATATCCAGAATAGGCAAATCTACAGAGACAGAGAGTAGATTAGTGGTTGCCAGAGTCTGGATGGAAACGATGGAGAATTGTTAGTGACTGCTAATAGAAATGAGATTTCAGCCGGGCTCGGTGGCTCAGCCTGTAATCCCACGCTTTGGGAGGCTGAGGTGAGTGGATTGCCTGAGCCCGCGGG